ATATAGTGATTTTCAAAATTGTATTAGGAGCATATTTATAATGTTTAAATGAGTGAATATAATAAGAACAATATTAGAATTTGACGTGAATAAAATAGTAATTTTTAAAAATTTTAATACGGGTTTATAAAGAGTGCCAGTGGGATGCATTTATAAAAATTGTGAGTGTAAATAATAGAACCTAATTTTTATTTAGCCATTGTTTGATCCCGTTATTTTCAAAATATATTATTCTCCCTCTTCTTTTTAACCACACATTATTCAATTAAAAAATATTACACGTAAACTCAAAAAATTTCCTTATTGTTTAATATCCATCAATCTACCACTCCATCATTCATTCTTTGAAAATTAAATAAGTCCTTAGTCTAAGTTTTATTCCATTTTTTAAAAACCTTATTTTTACTTAACTCATTTTCAATTACACATTCTTTCATAAAATAATTTTACATGTAAATCGAATTTTTTCCTTCTTTTTTAACCATAAATTCTTCAAAAAAAATAAATTACGATTTTACAAAATTCATTTTCTTACCAAAGTGAAGCTCAAACAAGAGCTTAGTGACAAAAAAAAAAAAACACACACACACACACACACTGTGTTTCAATTTTATATTATTTTTACCACTTTTTGAGATATTGAATAAATCATATGTCACTAATTTTGTGTTCTTTTCTAATCTAGATAATATATGTTTATTCCTTGTTTGGCAATTATTATTTAAAAACTCTTTTATATTTCAGTTGCACATTCACAAAATAGAACATTTTACACTTAAATTTAAAATTTTTCCTTATTTTTTAATCACACCTTATTCCAAACCCTTGTTTGGTCCACATTATTTCCAAAATACATTTTACTCTCTTATTTTCAACAATTCATTATTCAATAAAATAATATTATACACAAATTCAAAACGTTTCCTTGATTTCAATAGGGTTGGGTTGTGTTGGTTGGTTGGTTTAGACATTAAAAATCATAAAAATATGTTCGACAATAAAAACATATCAATCACAACGCTTCCCATGAACAAAAACTTGTAATCAGGCATGAAGGGAAGTGTATGTATTATACAAATTATCATATCACTTAAAGGGAAAATAAGCCTAAAACCAAGCCCCAAATTCTCACATTAAAATATAAATGAATAATCAACTTAAAATTTAAAGTTAAGAGTACCAAAAAATTAAATACCGGATTAGCGTCGAACCTAAACTGATGCAAACCTCGACGAACAACGTCGCAAGACCCGAAAACAATACCTTGGAGTACAAATCAAATTGTCCACAAACAAGGAATTTAGGTAAAGAAAGAATATTGACCTCATGGCTATAAAGAACCAGAAACCAATATTATAAAAGTTTGGAAATCACAAATTAGCACTTGGAATTCCCAAAAAGTTGCAGAAGAACAAAGTAGGAGAAAAAATCAATGTTCCATCTTTCTTAGGAACTAGCAAAATAGGTACGGTACACGGACTCATACTCTCATAGATGTGTCCTTTAGCCAATAGCTCTTCTACTTGTCGTTGCAATTCTTTAGTTTCTTCAGAACTGCTGTGATAAATTAGGAGGTTTGGAATTTGAGCTCCAGGAATAAAATCGATTTGGTGCTCAATTTCTAAAATTGGTGGCAAACCCGGTGGCGTTTCTTCAGGGATAACATCATCAAACTCCTGCAAAAGTGAAGCAGCTACACTAGGCAAAGAAGAATCAAGTTTAGCGTTAGAAGAATATGTTTCTTTATGCAAAAACAAGATCATCATTTTGTTGGAATTACAAGCGTTCTTCATTTCTCTCTCTTTTGCATAAAAACACATTTTTCTTTAGTCTTTTCTCACTTGTGTCGAATCCTCTTGTTTTTCTTCCTCACCCTCAAATTATTCTCAACCTGCTGACTCTCCTTTCGGTCATGCTCAACCTTGACCATGGTTTCAAGTTGCTTTATGTTGGCAGCAACGGACTTCTTGATTTGATTTTGCTCCTCATACACTTGTTGAGGTGACAATGGTGCAAGTGTAATAATCTTTCCGTCCTTGTTAAAGCTGTGTCTATTTTCATAACCATCATAAATATTGCACCTATCAAACTACCATGGCCTCCCAAGCAATATATGACCTGCTTGCATAGGAACAACATCACATAAAACTTCATCATTGTATTGTCCAATGGAAAAGAAAACTAGCCTCATCTCTCCACTTTTATTGAGCCATTGTAGCCTATAAGGCCTCAGGTATCTTGTGGTACGTAAATCAAGCTTTTTCACTGATGAGTGCTCTACACTCATAATATTTATGCAACCTAATTTGTTATTTTGTTACTTTTGAGAGTGTTTTAGAGCTTTTTATTGTGTGTTTTGATGTTGTGATGTAGGTTGATGAAATTGAAAGAAATAAGCAAAAGTTGGCGAAATTGGAGAAAATTGCCAAATTGTAAGACATCCAAAGTTCGGGGACTAAAGCGCAAATATTGAAAAGTTGTGTTGAACCTCGCAATAAAGATCCAAGCATGCTAGGAGTTAATTGGATGAAAAAAAGAAGTCAAAGGGATCAAATTTAGCCAAAATATGATCACAAATCAATTTCCAACCGAAAAGTTGTACTCCATAATTTCAGCCTCACATTGAGACTCACTTTTTACATAGCAAACGATCGAAGCAGAGAATAATATCTGAAGAAAATTTATACTCCTTTGAGTTAGCTTTCTAACAAGCTTGAATTACCTCAATTGGACATCGAACGAGAAAGTTATGCTAAAATACTAAAGGACGCGTAGAAGGAATTTTCCACCCGAACTGGGCGCCGTGGCGCCAATGAATCTGAATTTGACAGTAAGGGCAGCGCTGTGGCACCCAATATTGTGCCGCCTATGCGGGTAAACGTATTTTGATATTTTTGGATTTCTTTCTTGGCCCATTCCAACCCAAAATCGTCCAACACTTGAGGAGACTATAAATACTACCTAAAAGACCTAATTAAGAGGGGAAAAATGAGGAAGGAAATTTGGAAGCAGCCGGCAAGAACACGTGATTGGAAAGAGGAGTTTAGCCGGCCAATTGCAAAAATCTGGAGACAAATCTACGGCTGGTCAATACAATTAAAGAAGAGAAAGTTAATTTAAGAAAAATTTGGCAACAATGGAAGAAGAAATCGAGCGGCAAAAACGAGTTTTTCTATTCCTTTTCTTCTCTATGTTCTTTCTTATTAATTTATTCATGTCAATTTTCTCAATTATGAACTAAACAATTATTCTAGGGATGATGTAGCCTACTTGAAACATGTTTGGATTCCGATATAATTATTTCAATTGATCTTTCCTTTTTATTTATTTATGTTATTTGTGCGCAATGCTTTCAATTAACTGGCCACTAATTGACTGATTTGCTGTTCTAAATTTTGGTGCTCGAGAGAGTCAAATTTAGGCGTGATCTAAGACAACATAACCTAGATTTCGTAGGTTTCAAGAGAAAGTACGAATCTTTGATGCATGTTTTAATTAAAAACCACGTGCTTAGTGATTTTTATATTTTTAATTCGGAATAGAGATATTGAAATTGAAATATAAAAATAGATTCTATTTGGCGCTCAAGGTTAGAGGTCGATTTTCATCCTATTAATCTCAGACAATCCACACAAAATTTAGCATTCATGGAATCCACATTTATCTCCAAGTTTCCCTACAACAGCTTAATCTACCAAACATCCTATATTTGGTTTAAAGGTAATATGATGTTCAAAGGTTGTTTGGGTTTAGCATCTAAATTCTGTAATCCAACCTATAAACATGAATCAACCTACTCATGCACAACGCTACAATCAACTCACGTGCAAAAATAATTTTCGTTTTACATAAATAAGCAAAAATCTAACTCAAGCACATAACGTATCCATAACCCATAAATCAACGCACGTTCTCAATTACACAAATCAATATCGGCAAAGCTATCTAACTCACACAAGCATGCAAAACACAAAATGATTTTTTTTGTTTTTTTTTTAACAGTGCACTGTAATAAGAAAATTAAAAAAAGAAAAAATTGCACACAAATCACACAAAATACACAAAATAAAAAATATGTAGGCAATTAGAAAATCAATTAGAAAATTTATAATACACCCCCAAACTTAAACTAAACATTGTCCCCAATGTAAAATTAAAAGAAAAGGAGGAAAACTTCCCTGAATTGTCTGAATTACCAATGATGGTCTGGTGCTATGATGCTGAACTTGATTGATACTTCTTCTAGTTTCTCTCCCAAACTTGATATTTATCCAGTTACTCTTCATCAATTGGTTTGATTGTTCCACGATGTCAAGTTTCCAAGGGGGACGAGGTAGGGCTAATGAATTCCTATATGAAAAAAAATTGAAATGAAATAAACTCTCCTATAATTCAAAACAAATAAAATAAAATAAAATAAGTGAAAATGTAAGAATGCTTGGGTTGCCTCCCAAGAAGCGCTTCTTTATAGTCACTAGCTTGACTCAATCGCAACGCCTACGGTGGATCCTCAGGTGGCACATTTCTCTTATATCTGAACTTTATTTTCGGCTTTGTATTCTCCTTCATTGTAATATGGTGAACAAACTTAGGCTATTTTGACCCTGGTATGGCTTTCAAGATCTCTTTTGGTTTGACAATGTTTGGAGGTTTCAAACGCCTATCTACATAGCTCTTTTTTTATCAGGTGGGTCAACTTCTTGAGCTAAGATGAAATCCACTGCTTTCTTCATTTCTAAGTCATTACCATCAGTAGATGCATCCCTTGTTGAGTAACTAATTTCCATGTATTGCACCAACGGATCATAAAATAATTTTCCCTTTTCTCCGTTTCTTGCAATTACTTTAGCTGATTGGATCATTTTGCAAGTGTTAACTTTTCCTTTTTCTGGGGCTTTCTTTTCTTGATGGATGTTGAAAGTTACTTGCTCTTCATTAACTCGCAGTGTGAACTTTCTTTCTTGCACATCAATCAATGCTCTTCCAGTAGCCAGGAAAGGTCAGCCAAGAATCAATGGTACTTTCTCACCCTCCTCCATGTCCAATGCCACAAAGTCCACCGGAAAGATGAACTTATCAACCTTCACCAACACGTCTTCAATAATGCCTTTGGGATATGTGATCGATCTGTCCGCCAGTTGCAAGGTAAAGGTTGTGGGGTTCACTTTTCCAAGTCCCAACTTTTTGAACATTGATAAGGGCATCAAGTTTATGTTAGCTCCAAGGTCACATAGTGCCCTATCAAATGTGATACCACCAATATTGCACCGGATGTTGAAGCTGCCCGGATCTTTCAATTTGTGAGGGAGCTTCTTCTGAGGTATGGCATTACACTCCTCTGTCAGCTTAACAGTCTCAAATTCCTCCAACTTTCTCTTCTTTGACATTACTTCCATTAAGAACTTGACATAGTTAGGCATTTGGGCCAAGGTTTCTGCAAAGGAAATGTTGATGTGGATTTTCTTGAAGACCTCCAGAAACTTTGCGAATTTTTCATCAAACTCCTTCTTCAAATACCTCTGCGGGAATGGTAGCGGGAGCTTCAAGATAGGTGGGTTGTCCGAAAATGAAATTGAGTAAGACTTATAAATCTTCTTTGTTGCCTCTGCCTCAGTTTTCTGCCCTTCAGTCTGGTTGATGCGAACCTCGTAGCAACGTTGACTATGAAACCCACAACGAGATTGACGAGCCCAAGAAAGCCAAATTAATCCAAAGTTTAGGATTAACCCAAAAGAAAGTCGAACCAAAAAACCCAACAAGAACGACGCTTGAAAGACCCCTTGATCACGCAATCCAAGAATTAAATCCGGTTGTTTGAACGCCACAAGTTATCACTTGATAAGTTCAAAATTGTTCAATGAAGAACGATGAAGAGAAGACAATATGCCTCACTTTAATTCAATATCAATAATGTCAAAGGTTTTTAACAATTGAATGGAAACTCCTATTTATACTAAACCTAAAAACTAGGTAAAAATCGTGCAAAAATCGAGCATAATCTCCAAAATATGGAAAAGAATCAAAATCTAACAAAATATGGAAAATTGCCAAAATTGAAAAATTCGCCAAATTTTTGGCTTGTGCGGCCGCATGGTGTATTTCCATGCGGTCGCATGGTTCAACAAAAAATTTCAATTTAAGTTTCAGTATGCCACTGTGCAGCCGCATGGTGTTTTTGCTGTGCGGTCGCACAGGCTTATTTTCAGCCTCCGATTTCGTCGCTTGATAACAAATTGATCCAAGTTGATTCGACCTTCGACCCGAGCATGAAAGTTGCTCCATTTTGAGTCCTGAACATGGTTCTATCAATGGTTTCTTAAACGAGCAATCCTATCGCTTGTTTCACTTACTTTGCTCTTAATCGCGTCATTGTCCGCTATCGACTATCAACGGGTCTCGTCTCGTACTTACCTTCGTCGGGCTCGACTCCTAGACCATATCACTGCTTTTCCCTTGCAAGAATGAGATCCGATGTAGGTACCCCAACCTCTCTAAGCTTGCATTCTTCAACTGGTTTACCACTTCTTAGGGTGATAGCATTGCAGTGTTCCCGTGGGTTAACCTCTGTGTCATTGGGAAATTGTCCTTTTTGTTGAGACTGTATTGCAGTCGCTATCTGACCAATATGTACCTCTAAATTCTTTACTATAGTCCCCAAGTTGGTCATATGTGTCTCAATGCTGTCAAGTCTTACCTCATCTTTGTTGAACCTCAATCTGGTCTCCGAAATGAAGTTTCCTAAATATCTTCCAGTGATGGCTTTCACTCAAACGCTTGATTATTGAACCCCTAATAGTAGTTATTTCTTGAGTAGTTTCCCTTTTGATTGAAATTCCGATCGTTCACATACTGAAGTTGTTCATTCTCCCTATCAACTTTTTGGTATGCAGTGGATATAGCCATAATAGATTCTGATTTCTTTTGTGATCCATGTGAAGTCAATGCAGCTATTTCATTAGTGATAGATGACATTTGAGCTGCAAGGGCGGTTATAGGATCTACTTCATAAAGGTCAGCAACTTTCTTTGCACTTGAATGCTCACTCGGCCATTGATAGCTATTAGTAGCTATCTCATCCAATAATGCATAAGCCTCATTTGGGGTTTTGGATAATAGTGCACCCCCTGCTGCAGAATCTACGAATCCGTGTCTGACCATTCAAATCGTTGTAGAAGGTTTGTATCTGCAACCAATCCGGGTAACCATGCTGAGGACATAATCTAAATAGATCTTTATATCTCTCCCATGCCTCATAGAATGGTTCGAAGTCTAATTGTCGAAACTGTCCAATTTCACTCCTTAATTGCGCTGCCTTCGAAGGTGGAAAGAATTTTGTAAGAAACTTCCGCACTAACCCTTCCCAAGTTGTGATGTATCCATACGGAAATGATTGGAACCATGCCTTGGCTTTGTCTCTTAGGGAAAACGAAACTAGGTGGAGTCGGATTGCATCTTCAGTAACGCCATTCATTTTCACTGTATCACAAATCTCCAGAAAGGACCCCAAATGAGCATTTGGGTCTTCTGTTGGAGCTCCCTCAAATTGATTCTACTACACCATGTGTATAAGTCCTGGCTTCAATTCGAAATTGTTTGCAGCAATTGCTGGGTTTGCGATGCCAGAATAGTTGTCATTGACAACCGGCATTATGTAGTCCCGAATAGCCCTTTGTTGGTTATCCTCATTGGCTGCTCTAACATCCTCTTCTACCATTTCTTCCCATTCGTTTCTTTGTATGCCTTTGAGAATGCGAAATGTGCGTTTTGGTTCAGGATCAATAGGTAGTAGGTCTAGATTTATCGCCCTTCGCATAAACAGCTGAAAATAACCACAAGGAAGCTCTTAAAGATAAACACAAAAAGAATAAAATAAAAATAAAATCTAAAGTAAAATGTAGGTAATAATATCAATTGAATTCAAATAAATCAATCCCCGGCAAAAACGCCAAAAACTTGTCACGCGATTTATGCAACGTGATTTTTAAACCCCAAGTGTACGGTGTCAAGTTTTGTAATATAGTGAAGAAGTTAGGATGTCGAACCCACAGAGATTGATATTTGAATCAATTGAGTACTATAATTATTTTAGCTTTCCCCTTATTTAGACGATCAAATTTTGAGTCAATATTTTTATGCTAAATTAAAATTAAATAGGATGAACGATGCAAGTAAACGAGAGCAAATTATGAAGTTTCTTATCAAATTATGAATGCCTAGGGAATAATTTCACCTTACATTCGACAATATTTTTCAACCGTATAACTATTTCTATTAATCTTTCCAAAATTTATAGGCAAGAACACTATTTCCCTCTCTCGAGTGCCAAATAAAATCTATTTTTATATTTCAATTCCAATATCTCTATTCCTAATTAAAAATATAAAAATTATAAAGGACGTAGTTCTTAATTAAAACATGCCTCAAAGATTCGTACTTTCTCTCGAAACCTACGAAATCTAGGTTATGTTATCTTAGATCACGCCTAAATTTGCTTCTCTCGAGCGCTAAAATTTAGAACATCAAATCAGTCAATTAGTGCCAGTTAATTGAAAGCATTGCGCACAAACAACATAAATAAATAAAAAGGAAAGATCAATTGAAATAATTATAACGGAATCCAAACATGTCTCAAGTAGGCTACATCATCCCTAGAATAATTGTTTAGTTCATAAGAGAAAATTGACACGAATAAATTAATAAGAAAGAACATAGAGAAGAAAAGGAATAAAAAACCTCGTTTTTGCCGCTCGATTTCTTCTTCCATTGTTGCCAAATTCTCTCAATTAACTTCCTCTTCTTCAATTGTATTGGCCAGCCGTGGATTTGTCTCCAGATTTTTGCAATTGGCCGGCTAAACTCCTCTTTCCAATCACGTGTTCTTGCTGGCTGCTTCCAGTTTTCCTTCCTGATTTTTCCCCTCTTAATTAGGTTTTTTAGGTAGTATTTATAGTCTCCTCAAGTGTTGAACGATTTTGGGTTGGAATGGGCCAAGAAAGAAATTCAAAAATATCAAAATACGTTTACCCACATAGGCGGCGCTACGGCGCCCAATATGGGCACCACAGCACTGCTCTTATTGTCAAATTCAGATTCATTGGCGCCATGGCGCTCGGTTCGGGTGAAAAATTTCTTCTAACTTTCTCGTCCGATGTCCAATTGAGGTGATTCAAAGCTCGTTAGAAAGCTAACTCAAAGGGGTACAAATTTTCTTCAGATATTATTCTCAGCTTCGATCGTTTGCTATGTCAAAAATGAGTATCAATCATAAATTTTCTAATTGATTTTCTAATTGCCTACATATTTTTTTATTTTGTGTATTTTGTGTGATTTGTGTGCAATTTTTTCTTTTTTTAATTTTCTTATTAGGGTGCACTGTTATAAAAAAAAAAATCATTTTGTGTTTTGCATGCTTGTGTGAGTTAGATAGCCTTGCCGATATTGATTTGTGTAATTGAGAACGTGCGTTGATTTATGGGTTATGGATAAGTTATGTGCTTGAGTTAGATTTTTGCTTATTTATGTAAAACGAAAATTATTTTTGCACGTGAGTTGATTGTGGCGTTATGCATGAGTAGGTTGATTCTTGTTTATAGGTTGGATTACAGAACTTAGATGCTAAACCCAAACAATCTTTGAACATCATATTACCTTTAAACCAAATATAGGATGTTTGGTAGATTAAGCTGTTGTAGGGAAACTTGGAGATAAATGTGGATTCTGTGTGTGCTAAATTTTGTGTGGATTGTCTGAGACTAATAGGATGAAAATTGGGTGAAAACCTTAAGTTAGAGGTCGATTTTCGAAAATTGGTGTTTAATAAGGGGCATTGCACTAATCATTGCATAAAAAAAATATCTCAATGATGACAACTTTAATAACCTCATTGTGAATCGTCTCTTCGTAGCCTTTATGACTCGAGTGATTAAGCCTGTAAGGGTTTAAAACCTGGCGCCCTAAAGTTGTCTGATTTGGGAGTCATCGGCCTAAAACTCGCTACAAGGGTCATTTAGAAAGTTTAAGGGAGTGACTTCCACACAAATGGTGTTTACAGAATAAATTTATATTTGAAAAAAAAAATAAAGAAAAGAAATTTGATATCACATACCCTGATTAAGCCCCGAACACTTGTTTTAGAGGATTAGACCTTTGATGAGAGGTTAGTAACTTGGTTGATTCTGGGAAGTTGAAGCAGTCAAAAATAAGGAGAATCCTTATCTGTTGATATGTTGAACTGCAATAGTGAAATCTAATCAAACTTGAGCGGTTTAAGAAATTAGTTTTGAAAAATCAACTTTAGAATACACATTGGGAAGAGAAAGATAACAAGTTTGGGGTGTGTGTGAATCCCACGAGCGAGGCAAGGAAATTTTTAACTTTTAAGTTTGGGAATTGGGTCAATTTATTATTGTACATCGTTGCACTTAACTCTCCATACACACACCCGGTTGCATTGAATAGGCGAGAATTTGACTTGTGCATTATAGCTTTGAAGTAATTCATGAATTTGACGCTATGTTTTTAATCTTGAGCTATAAAGGCAAGGTGTCTAACATAACGTGTCTTTTAAGTGATTTTGTTTGTTTTAGTTGTGCTTGTGTACTTGTTAATGATTTTATTTAGTTTGGTGTTTGCTCGAGGACAAGCAAAATATTAAGTTTGGAGGTATTTGATGAGTGCTCTACACTCATAATATTTATGCCACCTAATTTGTTATTTTGTTACTTTTTAGAGTGTTTTAGAGCTTTTTATTGTGTGTTTTGATGTTGTGATGTAGGTTGATGAAATTGAAAGAAATAAGCAAAAGTTGGCGAAATTGGAGAAAATTGCCAAATTGTAAGACATCCAAAGTTCGGGGACTAAAGTGCAAATATTGAAAAGTTGTGTTGAACCTCGTAATGAAGATCCGAGCATGCTAGGAGTCAATTAGATGAAAAAAAGATGTCAAAGGGATCAAATTTAGTCAAAATATGATCACAAATCAATTTCCAACCGAAAAGTTGCACTTCGGAATTTCAGCCTCACATTGAGACTCATTTTTGACATAGCAAACGATTGAAGCAGAGAATAATATTTGAAGAAAATTTGTACCCCTTTGAGTTAGCTTTCTAACGAGCTTTGAATCACCTCAATTGGACATCGGACGAGAAAGTTATACTAAAAATACTGAAAGACGTGCAGAAAGAATTTTCCACCCGAACCGGGCGCCGTGCGCCAATGAATCTGAATTTGACAGTAAGGGCAGCGCTGTGGCGCCGTGGCGCCGTGGCGCCGCCTATGCAGGTAAACGTATTTTGATATTTTTGGATTTCTTTCTTGATCCATTCCAACCTAAAATCGTCCAACACTTGAGGAGACTATAAATACTACCTA